GAGTGCCAGGACTCAATTAGTTGACTCTGGTGAGGAGGAAATGGAATCTTGCTGTGGTTTTCATTGGCAGTTCCCTGACATGGGGAGGGTCAAGCCTCTCTTCACACGTTGATGGACTATTCTTTTCCTCTTCTAGGAAGGCCCGTCCCACCCTCCCATGCCCTGGGAAGACACTGCACCACAGTTTCATTCCGAGGAACCAAAGCCACGTCCTTTGGGGGACTGGATGGGCCAGTGTTCTGTGTGGACTCAGCCTGGAGCCCCCGAGAGAAGCAGGCCCACCCACCCCAGGGTCCCCTTGCAGGAGAGTGCATTTTTCCAGCTCACAGCTAAACATTTTCTTTGTCACCACCCCCCACCCCTGAGAAAAAGAATCCCTTAAACTCTGATTGCACTTGGAGTTCAGAAAGCATTTCCTCAAGCTGTAGCCCCTTCCAGCTCCCTCAGACACCCCCACCAGGTGCCCCTGGACAGCTGCAAACTGACAGCCCCCTATGGGCAGAGCACATCTGTCTCTGCTATACCTGCAGCAACTGGTCCAGGCCCGGCACAGATCTGGAGCCCAGAGGATCCTCCTGACCACCGGGGGGCTGTGGAGGACAACGAGGAGTTGCCATCTGAGGGCTGCCTCTCCAAGCAGCCCTGGCAGATGCTGCAGCTGAGGCCGAGTCCACCTGTGGAGCCACAGAACAGGCAGCCACACTCCAGAGGCAGCTGTGGTCTCTAACGGGCATGACAGCCAGGGGGTGGCACTCAGGGCAGGTGGGGCAGCGGGGTGGCCTCCTTCCAGCCATAAAGATGGCATACACTGCCCCCTTCACACACACTGCCCACTTCCTGCAGCCCCCGGAGGGCAGCCAAAGGCAGAAAGGACACATGGTCTCACTTCTGCCCACTGGTCTCTCCAGCCTCCTCCTCACTCTCGCCCAAAGGACAGGCTGCATCTCCTGGGCTTGGGTCCTCACTGTGCCCCAGGGCCTCTGTGGACACGCCCGTCCCGTCCTCACCCTTCCAGCTCTTTCCCAGCTCAGAGCCAGACTCGGATTCCATGATCATCTCCACTTATCGGCCCGATTTTTCAGAAACTTTATCCCACTAAAGCCTCTGAGATGCACTCCGTCTATAGTGTTTCCAAAATATCTCAGCACTTTGCTTCTTTTTTTTTCAGCTGAGATGAAATTCACATAACATAAAAATAACTATTTTAAAGTGAACAATTCAATGGCATTTAATACATTCACAAAGTTGGGCAACTGCCACCTCCATCAAGTTCCAAAACATCCTCATCACCCCATGAGAAGCACTCGGCTTCCTTCTGCAGGATGTCTGTGTGTCTGGTGCCCGCATTGGAAGACCGGGAACTCGTGGGGGACGGGAGAGGCTTGGGCGTCCCCCTTCCAACCCCCCCCAACCCCCGCCTTGCTCAAAGTCACTGACAACACACACTGAGATACACTAACTTGGTAAGATGTGGTCACATCGTTCCTAGTGTCTACATCTAAGACAGCACCTGACAGTGTTACTGGAGCCCAGTACTGGGCATCCAGCAAGCATCTACAAACATAACCAAGGGCATCCTCGCTGCAGCCAGCTGGGCCTGGGACACAGCACAGGCCTGGTCTCGGCGAGAAAGCCCACAGTAAACCCGAGTGAACGGGGTTTCCAGGGCTGGGCTTTGATAAAGACTCATAAGGAGATGAGCAGCATACAAAGGAATCCATTGCTGCTGCTGATGGTACCAAATCAGGGCAGCCTAGAAGACGCCAGCTCCCCAAAAGTCAGGCCCACTGCCCCCAGAGAACCACGAAATCACTTTACACAACACAAGTGGGTCTGGCACATTGGTCTCTGTGAAGCAACTGGGCCAGAGTCCTACGTCCCCAGGAAGCAGAGTCCCTTCACAAGGGGAAAGTGCCCTCCCAGCCTAGCCGGGACCAGGAGGCACATCTGTCACCCGCATTGCCACCCAGAGTCATCAGCACGGCTAATTACGGCTAATTGTAATACCGTTTCTGTCTCGCTGCTAATACATTCAGACTTGCTAATCAAATCAGACCATCCCGCCTTGCCGTGCTGCTTTCAAATAAACATTTCTGCAAAGTGAGGAATAAATAAGTAACTCCTAAGCTTTGTTTCCTCTTCTCTGCAGCCACCGTCCACGGAGACACAAGGGGGTGGGGGGCGAGTTGCCATTTATTTGTCTCTGGGACCAAAGGCATAGAAGGAATCTGATGAGGAACCGGCCTTTACTGTCCAAAGCTTCAAAGGCAGGGGGAGACAGAGGGTAAGAGATACCTGGGGACCAGGAGGGAGGGAGGGGGTGGGAAGGAGGCAAGAAACTGTCCTAACTGAGTCTGTACTGTTCCTGTGCCGTCTCCACTCTCTCGGCGACGCTGTCTCCTGCAGTCCCTGGCTGAACTGGTGGCTCCTTCTAAGGTCCCCTGAGACCTGAGTTCCCCCTTCACTCAACAAGTTGGGGTGCCCTGAACTGTCCTCATACCTGGCTATGAGCTTGTTGAGGGCAGGGACGCTGTGCTGTTGGCTGTTTTCCCAGCCCCTGCCCAACACCTGGCACACGGCATTGCTCAGGAACTCCTGGCTCAACGGACAAATGAAACAGCCTAACAGTTAAGTAAATGCTACTTTCCTGTCCGCGGATGAAGCAGCCAAAGTGCTAAGAGATGCTGAGCAACTACCCAGCATTGGTGATCAGTAGAGAGCAGGACCTAAGGACGAGTCCCTGGTAGGTCTGGCCCTGCACCTGTGCCCCTTCAGAAAGTGGGGGAGCACTGGCCTCTCTGTGGCCCTACACAATAGCTACACAGAGATCAATGAGGAAATGTGAAGGCTACAGGGCACTCTGCTCAAGGACACAGCGGAGTGATTCTGAGAATCCTGGAATGGAAACTGACAAAAGGTTGACCATGACTGCAACTTCATATAAACGCACCCGTTACTATAGCAATCCTGCGGAAGAATTTCCTCGCCTCTACACATCCTCTCTACTGCTGAGTAAGGGGCTTCTGTTACACTGGGGAGCAGGGGATCACAGAGCCGTGGCCCTTAGCGGGCTCCATCTGCCTCGGGAAACACCAACCCCAATCACCCTACCAGCCTGAGAGGACAGGAGTCCAGTGGGGCAGAAACAGTGCCAAGCTCGGGGTCGGGAAAGTCGGGTTCTCACCCCAGACTGACAGGCTCAGCCCAGACTGAGTCACCTCCCCACCCTTGGCCCTAGTGTTTTCGTCCAGACGAGAGGAACTCTGAATGGCATTCTTGCCATCTCTGACTCCTGTCAAGCTTCCATTTATCTCATGGCAGAAGTGAGCGAATGAGTGAACGAATGAAATGAGACTGCAGCAACAGACACGCAGGTGAAGCCTTCCAAGGCTGGTGCAGGGCAGGGAGAGAGGGAGGAAGGAAGAGCGAGGATAAGCAGCGAGCAGTGACTCTCTGAACAGGTTCATCTTTGCCTTCACCTTCCAGGAACCCTGTGCGGCTGGCATGACTACACCCATTCCACAGATGAGGAACCTGAGGCTCGGAAGGTCATCCAATCACTCAGAGAGGATGCAGGGCTGCCAGCCAGGTCTGGACCACTCCAACCCCATCTTCTTCCCCCTCCTGCACGTGGCCAGACAACTCAGCTAGTCCTCCAGCAAATTCTCCCCGCCTGGCATCTCACAGACGCCGCTTCTGCCTGAGCAACATCCACACGGCTCACACACATAACTAAAAAATGAGAGGCGCATTCCGCATCAAATGAGGCTGTCGATTTTAATTAATTTCAGACTTTGTGTGTTTCTGGCAATTATTTGTAACAAGGTTTACAGAGGGCATTTAAAATTAATTGTGATTTTTATACAGAAATCAATGCTTATTTTTTAAGTAGCTCATTAGGGGTGAGTATGTGTTACAGGAACAGCGGGTTCGACGTCAGGAAGGAGGCACCTGGGGCTGAGAGGAGAAGCCAGCAAGGGAAGATGTCCATATGCGACGAGGAGATCAAAGCCAGCAGAGCTATGAAACGAAGCTCCAGGAGACAAAACAAAATCTGATTTGGACTGAGCAAAGGCAAAATCGGGGGGAATCTATTTAATAACCTAAAATGGGGACGAGAGCTGAGCTCCTCTGGCCTCTCAGCCTCGGCTGGTGGCGCTCAGGGAGGGCCAGCCGTCCAGGCCACTTGGCTCCAGACGGGGGCTCACCGATTCAGGCAGAGGCTGCAGGGGCAACACATGCGTGTCAAAGGCCCCTGAGTGGAAACTGGAGCAAACACTGTGAGGAGGGGCCACCCACAGGCATCAGCAGACAAGCCTGGACGAGCTGGGACGTGAGGCCCAGCACCCAGGCCCACCCCTGAACACCGCACCAAAGGGCAGGTAAGGGGGCCCATTAGATTACCTTTTGCACTTTCTGTGTTTGTTTTTAAAGAAATATGTTTTAAAATTCAACTTAGAAAGACCAAAAGCTGATTAATAGAAATGTCTAAATACCAACGCCATGAAATATCAGTGAAAAGTCTCACATCACAGCCTACTGACACATGGTTAGCCCTCTTTCCTTTTACCCCTTTACATAAAGACACCGCATGATGAAAACCAACTGCAGTCCTGAGTTTTAATAATAAAACCACTAATATCTGCACAGGTCTTATGGCTTACAAAGATATTATTACTTCCATTTTGCACGTGAAGAAAATGAGGGGTTCAGGGAGTTTCCACGCCTCAGCCAAGTGTGCGAGGTAAGCAAGCTGAGGACCTGGAGCTGGGCCCCTCTACTACGCCCCAACCTCCTCCATCTTTCCTTGAGGTTGGCAAGGCGTGACAACCATCGCCACCACCATCCTCACAAAAATCACCACCACCACCATCACCACCATAATCACCATCGTCACCACCATCATCTCCATCACCACCATCACCACCACCATTATCACCATAATCACCATCATCACCACCATCATCTCTATCACCACCACCATCACCATTATCACCAAAATCACCATCATCACCATAATCACCATCGTCACCACCATCATCTCCATCACCACCATCATCACCACCATCATTTCCATCACAATGATCACCATCATCATAATCACAAAAGAGGAGAAGATCCAAGAAAGGCTGAAGAAGCCTGCTGTCCACATCTTTCCCTTTTGTCAGGGGGCCGGGAAAAGGGACATCCTCACACAGAGCCCTGGTTCTCACACTTCAGGTGCTCCAGAATCTTGCGGGGAGCATGTCACACACACTCCTGGGCCCAGTGGTGGAGCTTCTGGTTCCACAAGTAAGAGGTGGCACGAGGCATCTGCTGGGAAATGGAGCTCCCGAGAGACTGAGACGCAGAAGGTCAAGGGGCAGGCTCGGGGGGGCCTGAGCGAAGGTCCAGTCAGGGCCTGAGTGTTTGCAAAGCCTGGAAACATTGTAGTTGAGAGTAAAGGGCTACCCAAGAGTTAAAAACATGTTAAGTAGGATAAGTAGCAATTATGTCAATGAAAGTACTTGACACGTATGCTTATTTGTATTTAAATCTTGCTCCATAACTTACCAATTACACTTGGAGGGTGGCAGGATTGTTTATCTTGTTCTTTTTCATCTAAAGTTTTAATTTTCAAGAACAATCATGTATTCTTTCCCATTCCTGTGATTTCCTTCCAGAACCTCAGCGTCATCCACTGGCAGCCGAGAGAACTGCAGGCTCAGACAGAGGAGGAACAGACAACCCCCAAGGAGCTGGCCTGGGGCTTTTCAAACCTAGGAAGTGACAGCAAATGTCACACGAATAGATGCAACACAAGATCTACTCGCCCAGGAAGAGGCCGTCTGAGCCGCACGGTCTTTCAAAGCAACGTCGGCAACCTTCTGTGTTTTACGTCATCTTGTTATTCACTCTGTAGGGGGTCCCCAGAAGGGCATCCTAGGCACACAAGGTACTCTATTTCTTGGGTGTCAACCTCAGTGACTTTAGAACTTTTACAGCTTTTTGCTTCTTCTTTACACACACACACAAGAATCTTGTCTTCAGGGACACAGTGTAACAGCAAAAACATTTCCACATTTACAGTTTCTAAGGCACACCCATGCTCACTGTTCACCAATTAAAATGTAACTGTGTGCACCCAAGTGTCGGACACAGGTAACACCCCTCACTACCTCCGTTTTACTGAGGAGTCTGATCTGCCACAAAGTAGCGAAGCCATGACTGGCCAGCACCTGGGCTCTGTCTCTGCTTCCTCCGCTCCAGAGTGTGGGTAATACTTGCTCCTAAGACGTGTTGTGATGGTAAGTAAGGTAACTTGGAAAAAAAACATACCGTAGGAAGGGGTCAATAAGTGGGAGTTGCCATGGTGAACACTGATGTTACCATCATCACCATCATCACAATAATCCGCATCACCTTTATCATCACCAGCGTCATCACCATCACATTCTTACCACCATCACCAATATTACCGTCACCACCACCACCACCACCATCACCAGGATCATCATCAGTATCAACATCCTCACCATCACCTTTATCACCATCAGCACCATCCTCACCAGCACCACCACCACCACCATCACTACCACCACTAGGATCCAAATCCAGACGAATCCAGAGGCGCCTTTCTTGAGGGTAAGAAGAGGATCTGGGCCTCAGGGGATGAGCAGGATCTTGTTAAAGAGAAAAGGGCGATCGAGGCAGGAGAGCAGCCTGAGCAAAGGCTTGGTGACCCTCAGGCATTCAGGCCGTCCGGGGCTGACAGAGCTGTGATCCCTAGTACAGGAACAGGAAGTGGGGCCTGGAGCTTTTCGGTAGAGGATGGGGTCTGACAGCATGGGGCCCAGCTCAGACGGAGCTGGGCCTGAACCCTGGTTCTGCCCCTCACACGTCCACATTCAGAGAGGCGGTTCCTCGTGTGCGACCTCACAACCAACCCTGTCTCCGAGGAGAGCCCCGGCCTCCGGCCTGTCACCTGAGCAAACAGCGAGGGTGACAGTGCGCCCCCAAGCTCTCCCTCGGTTCCCACTGAGTTCCTCGTAACAGACAGGAGGTGCCTGGAAACAGTCGAACCCGAACCAAATCCTCACCTGTCCAATTCCTCGTTTCTTCCTCAAACAGCACATGCGTGTGAGCGCTGAAACAGTGGTCGGCCCTTCCTGAGCGCATCTTGGCTCTGCCCTCGGGGGACTTTGTGAGCTCGGAGGGGAGGGGACATTGCGAGCACCAGAGCACCACACCAAGCAAGAGCAGGACTGCAGGCGGGATCCTCCTCCCTCAGCCGCGTGGGCTTCCTGGGGTCCCTGGGGGCTGGCACAGCTGTGGGAGGGGAAGCTTTGTGGTCAAGAGACCTGGTGGGGATCTGAGCACTGCCACCTGGAAGCTGGGTGAATTGGGAAAGTTACTTGACCTCTCGGGGCCTCAGTTTCTTCATCTTTAAAGTGGGGATAACAGTGCCCCCTGGAGTCAAATGGATGCTTCTGGGATCCTGGTGCGTCTCTCGTGCTGTGGGCCTTGGGCAGGTCACTCTACCACTCAGCCTCCTCATGTGTAAAATGGGGAGAACCACATCGTAATGCTTCCCAGAGGGACCGGGAACTCTCTTAGCAGGGTCAAAATCACAAAAAGACTTGGTGGGGAACCCGAGGTGGGCTCTTCCTTTGTGTCTTTGTGTCTTCAGGAGGCAGGAGCTGGCGGCGGGTAGGGCTCCCGCCAAAGGAGGGAGGCTGCTCCAAACCCAGGCCAGGGCGCCCCAGGAGTGAGCCCCTCCGAGCAGTCTCAGGGCCACCTGACCCGCGCCCCGGCCAGCACTCTGGGAGTGGGAGGGACAGCAAGCCCGCGGCCCTCCTACCAGGTTGCCTTCCAGTCCTGCTCTGTCACCGGACAGCACTCACCAGGGCCGGCAGTGCCCAACACAGCGGCCGATGACCAAGCACGTCATTCCACTGAACCTGGGAACCGCCCCTCTGAACGTGGACGTGTGAGGGGCAGAGCCAGGGTTCAGGCCCAGCTGTGTGAGCCGGGCCCCGCTGTCAGCCCCTATCCTCTACCGAAAAGCTCCAGGCCCCACTCTCTGTTCCTGCAACAGGGATCACGGCTCTGTCCCAAGGCTTATCAGGACCCCACACATGCGTGTAATCCAGCACCCAGTAGGTGCAAATTAAGTGGTAATGTGGCGGGGGGTGGGGAAGAGGAGGGGGTAGGTGGCCTGACCCCGACCCCATGGGCCTTCTCTCTGGACCCCCGCCCAGCTGCTCACTTGATCCCGGTCGCCCCATGCCCCACCCTCCAAGCCTGCAGGCCAGACTCCCCCCTCACAATTACCTTCTGAAGTAGGCAGCAGAGTCTCATCTCCATTTTACAGATGCAGAAAACGACTCAGAAAGATCAAAGACTTACCCAGCAGGGCCCTGGGGACGGGACACAGATTCTGCTTCCTCAAGCTCAGTCCCATGGGGACACCCCCTGCCGGGCCTGCCACTCCCAGAGACACTGAGGACGACATGGTATCAAGGACAGGGAGGACCTGGGTGGACCGCAAACTCACAGACGAGTGTGGCATCCCCAGCCAGGGCTGGCAGCACACTGGGACTGCTGGCAGGGATCAGATGCCCAGGCGGGCTCGGGGTTCCGTCTCTGCTGGCAGCCAGTTTGATACACAGACAGTGCAGCAGCAACCTGGGCTCATATTTCAGCCCCAGAGCTAAGCCTTGGATGAGTAACTGTCCCGCTCTGAGCCTCAGTTTCCTCCCCTGTGAAACGGGGACAGGAGTAGGACTCGAAGCTATTGTCAGAAGTCAAGGCAGTGGGGGACCCAGCACACTCTCACCTGTCACCGGGAAGTGCTGGCTGGCTCCATCCTGCCACCCACAAGGGTCTCTGGCGGCCCAGAGACGATGTGGCTCCTGAGACTTAAACATGGACCTCAGCCTCCTGGTCAGCCAGGAGGACAGGCCACAGCTGCTGGACAGCAATACCAAGACAACACACACACGGCAATTTGCAGTTTACAAATGTGCTTCCACATAAGGCATTTAATCCCCATCACAGGCCACAGAGGCAGGGTCCTTCACTATAGCCATTTTACAGATGCAAAGAATGAGGCAAGTGGAGATGAGCAACTTGTGCAAAGTTGTGAAGATCCTGGGAGGTGGCAGCCAGTAACTGTGGGCCTCGGCCTCCAGCCTAGAGGTTGCTCATCCCCCTGCAGGGCGAAGACAAGCTGCATGGGCCGCCCAGCAGGTGCACATCCCACTGACGGTCTGTTTGTTCTAAAGCATCCTCTCCCGGCTCCTGAATGAAAACAAACCAGGGTGAAACCATCGGCTGACTGGTTTTCAAAACTGCACAAGCAAATTAACATCAAACCCAATAAAGGAGGCACCCCAGATTTTCCGGGGTGGTCTTGATTTCAAATATCCAAACCAACTGCCGGGTTCGGAAAGTACGGCCGTCCTGCTCACAGCAGAGCACGGTTTCAGCAGCTCCTCTGTCCCGGCTCTTGGCAAGGAAGGGGCAGGAAGGCAGATGCTGACGGAGACTACAGCCTGGCGCTGGGTCAGCATGGAGCGTGCGATCCCCAACCGCAACCTGAGGGAGGCGTGAGCAGCTTCAGTCGGCAGAGGCAGCGGGTTAGAATAGTCCCTCCAAAACTCATGTCCGCCCGAAAACTCGGAATGAGACCTTATTTGGAAATTGGGTCTTTGCAGATGTAATTAGTTGAGATCACACTGGATCAGGGTGGGCCCCAAATCCAATGACTGGGGACCCTATAAGAAGACAAGAGGAGACAGAGAGAGGGAAGACGTCCACGTGACGACAGAGGCAGGGACTGAAGTGATGCGGCCACAACCCAAGGAACGCCTGGGGCCACCAGAAGCTGGAAGAGGCAGGAAGGAGCCTCCCCTGGAGGGAGCGCAGCCCTGTGACACCTTGATTTCAGACTTCCAGCCTCCAGAACACTGAGAGAGCAAATGTCTGTTGTTTTAAGGCCAGTTTGCAGTGACCTGTTAACAGCAGCCACGGGAAACTCACACAGCAGACAAGAGAGTTAAGGCTCAGAGAAGGCAAGAAACTGGCCGAGGTCCCTGGGCTCACCAGCAACAGAGCCAGGCTGGAAGGCCACCTCGGCCCAGTGCCCCGGCCCCCCTTCCTCTCCTGTGCCACCCTCCCCCACGTCCACTTCTTCTAGAATACTCCCCCATCCCCACTTACAGGCTGCTGATTGCAATGAAAGATTTGCAAACGTCCCCACTTCCGCCGTATCCAAATTAGTGTCATTACAGAAGAGAAGTCCAGATAAAAATACCCAAACCCAGGGAGCGCCGGGGAGCGAAGCGGTACACGCACAAGGCAGCACGCAGCTGCCACAGCGGCCGAAAGGATGGCAGCCCAGCTCCGGGCGGGCCGCCGTCTCTCAGGCCGGGGCCACGGCGCCCTCTGCACCCACAAGGCCCCCACTCCCAGGCCTGTGTTTGCCTTTTTCATCAACTAAACAAAACAGAAGGGACGCAAACACAGCCTTGGGAGAATGGGTCGGTACATCCCTCCAGCCATTCAGCGAAGAGCCAGAATGGGAGAGCTGGGGGATAGATTACCGCTGCGCGAGTCCAGCTGCACCAGGATGTAATAAAACGTGTTGCTAAGATACAAGTGCCAAAGAAGTTCATTAAAGGACACTTTAAACCAAGCTGCCAGACTCCTCTCCCTCCACGGCTGCTTATTTGGTACCGTCCCTCGTGTTTATAATTAGATCCGCGATGTGAGAGTGGCGGCCCCCATTCAGGCCCACTCAGCAGAACTCGTTAATAAAATAGCTTCAACGAGGCATCGACTTAGGCGGGGGCGGGGGGGCTGTGGGACCGTTTTATTTACAGAAATATATTTGA